TCCTCTTCCTCCAAATAGACATCGCAGTCTCTAGCGTGAAGGCTGCTGTTCGCCACAGGTCCTCCAGGCCCCCAAGGAATTTTGGCTCTCTCTGCCTCGGGTTGGGCTAATATTTCCTTCTTAGTGCCTTGAGCATTGGTGCAGGCTTGTAGCAGATATACCTTCGTTTATTTTCGCTTGTCTCCCAAGTTTTTTTCCGTTTCCCGTCAGTCCTACTTTTCGTGCCAGGCTAATAGGTGGCAGGAAATTGTTTTCCTCCTCCAGGGCTCCACTTTGTACCCCTACTCATATTGTGTGAGTGGTACAAAAATATCTTTGACTTTGTTTCCCTATGATGCTTTTTATTACTTCTGTATCTTCTCCCTGGATTTTATTATGTGAGAAAACACTTTGTTTTCGCTGTCTTCCTGTTGCTCATGGTGGTGTGTGTTACTTTTCAGGTGCCTCAACTACTGCCGAGTGTTTACGGAGCTGGGGGAGTCTCTATTTAACATGCTGATCAGTTCCCCCAATGAGGTACAGTGCATAGTGCTTTGCTACTTCTGGACAGATTTTGTTGTTTTTTGTTTTCATGTTTTTGATGTCCTATTTTTTCCTAATTATAGTTATTGCCCATATCTTTTTATTTTCTTAAGGAAAAGAAGATTCTTCTTCTCGTAACCTTTTTTTAAAAAGAGATCTAAGGATGCATTTCTGGTCATCTGAATAGGCCTCTCATTTTCCATTTTAATTCATTAAAAAATTTTTTTTACAAACCAATGCTTCGTGGGTGGTTTATCGAGTGCTCTGGTGTGGTTTGCTTCTTCTTTCCTATCAAACATCTATCATCTTTATCTTCCTTCTTTCTTTTTTGTGTTTGTTATTACTGTCTTGTAACACTTCTAATCTCCGGCACTTATATATGACCTTATTGTGTTGCAAGTGTCGTAAAACACGTACTAAAACAAACCATTGCTTCCTTTTGTTGTGTCCACAGGGCCTGGGCTCCTTCCAGTTGGTGGATCTTCTGCTTATGTGTGTGGGACATCATCTCTACGAGGTAAACACAGGGGCTGTGTGTTATGTTATGTTGGCTGCTGTTTCACATTGGGTTACATGCTTAGTGTCCCAGGTGGAAGTTCCGAGTTTGAAACCGAGTGGGGTTGTTATTTTTTTTCTCAACCTTTCTGGAGAATGTTGCCTATTGATCCTGTTCTGACCATCTATGAAGAGCTGCTGTTTGGAGTTGATATTTTATTTTGCTACAATTACACTCAACACAGTTAAACAAAAATCTATTCTTGCCGTGACCTATACTGATGTAGTCAGAGGAATAGAACTCATCCTCTCCCATCCCATCAAGGGGCACAACTCCCCAGACAGTGTAGTGTCTCTCACATACTGTCGAAATTGTCTAAGATGGCCGCTCGCTGTTGAGGGGAACAATGATTGTCTTAGACAGGTGGAGTATGCTGCACATGAAGAAAAACAAAGATTCCCTGTGGGTGTCCCCACCGACTTAATAATAATAATAATAATAATAATAATAATAAATAGCATTTGTATAGCGCATATCCCCGCTCAACAGCAGGCTCTATGCGCTTTACACTATATTATTACCCCAGCAGACCATAGAACACTCCGAAACATTCTCAGTTTCCCGGGAAGCATACAGTGCAAGCAGCTGATTAAGCGCTCAAACACTAACAAACTGACAAGATCTTTCACTGTCTATAGCCGGGTACCCATTCCCACCTGGGTGAAGTGAGGAAAACTCGTGTAAAGTGCCTTTCCCAAGGACACAACGTCGTGCCGCCCCTGACGGGATTCAAACCCACGACCTTACGGTTGCGAGTCCGAGAGCCTAACCACTAGGCCACCGACGCCACTAGACTTAAATAGATTTAAAAAATTGTATTTTCTTTTTCTTTTGGAAGGAGGACACAAAGGGTGGTTTGTGGTGGGTCATTGTCCAGGGGGTTGTGTGGTCATCTTGGTTCGGTTGTTAGTGCAGCCGCGTTTGACAGATTGTTGTCTTGGGCAGTGTCATTATACATTTAAATAAAATAAATGTATTTGTTCTTTCTTTGTTGTCTGGTATGCCTATTATTGTGAAACGTAGAGGGCTCTATCAAGTTGTCTTTTCTCGGTCTTTTCTCCCTGTCATAGTTGGTGGTTGGCTCCTTCTTTTCTATCGAACATCTGCGGTCCTGATTTCTCCTCCTTTTTTAGTGTTTGTTACTCGCTTGTAATGCCTTTAATCTTCGGCACCTATACGACCTTATTGTGTTGCAAGTGTCACAAAACTTACTTAAACTAAAAAAGGGGGCTCTCGTGGCCTAGAGGTTAAGGTGTTGGCCTCTCATTCAAAGGTCCCGGGTTCGAATCCGGGTAGCGACCTAACAATGTTCTTCTCTAAAATTGTCTCCTTTCACCTCCTTTCCTGCTCTCTAGCAATGTTCTGTTGTCTGCTTTCATTTCCACTTTCTGCCCCCACCCCCTCACCTCCTTTGCCCCCTCCTCTGGGCTCCTGACTCTTTCTGCAGCCTTTCTACTGCTACTCCTTGGCTCCTCCATATTGCTGTCTTTCTGCCACACCCCTGATCTTCTGGTAGGAAAGATCTACACCTAGCCTTCTCGGACAAGGGCGAAAAATCTCGGAGGGCCCGTGTGCAAGTTGCGCACGTTAAAGATTCCTTGGTGGTCTAAAATCGATAAGAGTAGGCTTCGGCCGCCACCCGAGCAAAATTCAAAATTTCCTACCAACTGAAAATATTAGGAGTGTCCCGCGCGCTCATATGACCTATGCAGTTGCGAGCGCCGTAAAACACTTTACAAAAACAAACAAACTAAAAAAACATTGTAGAGGGCTCTATGAGGTTGTCTTTTCACTGCATGTTTGTCACTGCTATATATGTGTATATGTTCTGTGTGTGTTTGTTGCCCAGGTGGGAGAGATCACGTTCAACTTCTGGTACCGTTTGTCGGAGGCACTGTACCAGCGCAACACGCAGGAGCTGACGGATCTCTTCAAGCCCTACATCCAGAACCTGGTGCTGTCCCTGTGCCAGCACTGCCAGATGGACGAGGACCATGTGAGTGTGATGACGGCGGTTTCGAGGGGTGGTAGAGTGGTAGTGGTGGCTCAGTAACTTAAACGTCGCTGTGTGATTAAGATTTACAAAGACACATTAATGGGTCATGGGGTGGTAAATCAGAGTAAAAGGATTAAGAGACACACATGAAGATGTGTCACGACGCGGTGGAATCAGGTGCTCTTCAATTTTTGGACTTTTGAAGTTATTGGTATCAATTTAAACCTTATTTTGTCTTGCTTTCGGTGAGAAAAAAATACTCATGTATCATGAATAGAAGTCGAGGTATTTTGCAATTAAAGGGGGTGGGGTCAGATAAAAATTGTCAAATGGACAGAAAAATGCCAGTTTTTTTAAATTTCATTATTTTGACGAGTACCTGATTTCACCACGATGCCTCACATATGTTTGCGCCTTGAGTTTGATTAAAATATAAGTCTCAGCACTCCTTTCTCAACTGCTTAGTTGACCTCTTTTGTCCCCAATTAATTTGTGTCATTTTCTCTTATCATCTACACTGAGGTTTTCTGTGTCTTCTGAGTTGTGGTAAAATTGTTTGGTAAACTAGTACATGTGACAAATAGCCTGATTTTTTTGTGAAGCTGGACTTCTGTTTCAACATGGAATACAGATGCTACGAATGTGATTTTATGTCTTTTTATTCATTCTTTTTTTGCAGGAAGGTGTGCCCGATGACAGTGGTGACTTTGGTGATTTTCGTGTGCGCGTTTCAGAGCTAATCAAAGACGTCGTGTTTATTGCTGGGTCTTCTTCGTGTTTTATACAGGTGAGGGCCTCTTTTGGACATCTAAAAAGACCCCAACAATATTGTAGAAGAGACTCTACCAATAGGTGAAACCTCACCTTTTCTGTCTTAATGGAAACAGTTAATTTCAGCATATAGGATTCAGCTGTGGAAAGATTTTTTCATTCTTTGTTGTGCCAATTGAGAATAGATGATAAAAAGAAAATGTAGGCAGAGACATGATGTTGTCTGTGATAAGATCCTAATATGAAAAAGTTCTGCTCATTTCTGTAGCAAAGGTTCACAGGTCTGGCATAAACTTTGTCTATCTACTTTTTGTTTTGTTTTTTGTTTTTGTGGTATTAATAATGCAAGAATCCTTTTTTTTTCATTCTAAGACCGTAAATTCAAAAACTATCAAAGTTACCAACCTAGATTGTTGTCTTACTGCATGTTGCTTGTGTATTGCTTCATATCTTTCCCTAAAAACCTGCCAAACAGAACAATGGGCTCGGTCTAGACGTAGAGACCCTTTTTTAAAAGTTGGTGGGAAAAAAATAGATCACTGGTCAAAATGTTGTGAACTTTTTAAATTTTGTTTCATGAAGTTTTACACTGTGGACTTCATTTCTAGAACATTAACATTTTTTATTTTGTATGGACTTAAGGTTTTTTAGGGTCATCTTTTAGTGCTGTTACTTTTCAGGTATGGTTCCACCTATTTTTCATTGGCACTGAAATGGTCGTTGGTAATCCCAGAACTGTTGTGTGTCGTAGATTGTTGTAACAATGTTGTATACAGTGCGGCAGGTGTGGGAAGGTAATGTTTTCCGCTGTAACTGATGTATTCTCCTCCTCAGATGTTTGAAAGTTTGAAGTCCCCAAAGTCGTCGAGCTGGTCCATGTGTGAGGCCTCTCTGTTCATCATGACCGCAGTGGCCAAGAACATTTTACCGTGAGTAGACACAGACACATCTCTTGGCGATAGGCCGGGGTTGCTATAAAGTATTTCAGCTTTAACAGCTCCTTTATGTAATATCTGTGTTATGATTACTTATGTGATTTTTGTCTTAACCTTTTTGGTCACTAATAATAATTCATTTGATGTGATTATTCAAATTAATGCAAGTGTTCTCTAGAGGTGTTGATTTTCCGAATGTACCTGGAAATCTGGATTTCTGAAATTGTCTGCATTTTGTACTTCACGTGAAAATAGTCTTGATGCACGATGTAAGAAACTTCAGAATCTGTAAATTTTGAATTCACCTGCACAAGTTTCCATAGGGTCTGAAAAGCTCAGGATTTTTTTTTTCCGCTTCCAGTTATCAACTCTGATTCTTATTTATATTTTCTTTTGCCTTGTGCCAGGGAAGAGAACGAGATCGTGCCTCAAGTGGTGGAGGCCATCCTGGCCTTGCCCGAGACGACACACTTGGCCGTGCGCTACACCAGCATCCAGCTGCTGGGAGAATTGTCTGAGTGGATCGAACGACACCCGCAGCTCTTAGGTGAGGCCTGCAGGATATTCTTTTTTCCGCCGTTGCTTTTAAGGCGGATTGTCATTGCTATCATTATAAAATGTCATTCCATATTGTAGTGTATAAAGCTTTTGTTGTTATTGGAGAAGAGAGTTTGTCCTTTGACTACATAGAGGAAAGTAAAGTAGTTCCCGCATCCGATCTGGACATTAAGGATTGCCTTGTTAGTGGCAACTTCCTGGGCTTTCGGCATATTGTGGTAGGGTGGCCAGTTCCTTTCCATGCCGCCTTTACTTCCCCTACTCAAAGTTAGGTACCAATTACTGCTGGATGGGCAGGAGGGGGCGAAAAAAACCCGTGTCCGAACGGAGACTCGAACCCGTACTTTCTGCTTCGGAGACGAGCGCACTAACCGCTCCGCCACTGCACCCTCTACATAGAGGAACTCTATAATAATTCTGTTTACTTTTTGCGTTTTACGAAATGCATCTAATAGAAGCAGCGTGCAGAATACAAACTACGACGAACGGCGTTCATCATCATGGTCCTCGCGCTTCGAAGGCATGGCGAACACCGTTAGTCACAGCAGCATCTTGGCTCATTTGCTGTGTAAGAAAAAAATGACGAACGGTGTACGTCATATAGGTCACGAAGTGGTTAATCATTTTCTCCCCTGTCCTCCGACGGACCTGATCCTGTGTTACCTGCTGGTGGACCCCTAGCATCTTGGCTCTTTTGCCGGGTACGAAAAAAATGATGAACGGTGTACGTCATATAGGTCATGAAAGGGCTAATCATTTCCTCCTCTGTCTCGCGACAGATCTGATCCTACGTTACCTGCTGGTGGGCCTGCAACAGCCTGTGCTTGCGTCCATCGCGGCGCGGTCACTCCAGAGCATCTGCACCCAGTGCCGCGACCAGATGACCAGCCACTTCCAGGGCCTCATGCACATTGTCCAGTCCATGGAGACCTTTAACCTCTCGCCTGACGCTGCCATTGGACTCCTCAAAGGTTTGTGTGTATGTGTGTGTTTGTGTGGGTTTGTGTGTGTGTGTCTGTGGTGATGTGTGTGTGTGCCTGTGTGTGTGTTTGTGAGGGTGTTTATCTTTGTTTGTGTGTGTCTGTGAGGGTGAGCTGGATCGATAACAACAACGTGTGTGAGGGTGAGAGTGTGTGTGTGTGCGTGTCTGTGTATATGTGTGTGTATGTTTGTATACTGTCAAAATTGTCGAAACAGCCTTTTTTTGTTGTCAACAATGAGTATTTATGTTTTTAAAAAGTTTTGACGCACACATTTCAGTCTGTCTTACATGTTACTGGGAAACGTACAGGAGAAATAATTTGTTCCATGTTACTAGTGAAATGCCTAGTAGTTCCATGTTACTAGAAAAATACCTACGTATAGCGCTTAGAGATGGCTGTTGAGCAGAGTTATGCGTCATACCAATGCTATTTATTATTATTGCTAGTATGGCATGTGGTATTTAAAGGCATCCCCCCCCCCCATGTGTTTACAGGTACAGCCACCATTCTAGCCCTGTTGCCAGCGGAAAACATCGGCGAAGCTCTCGGCCAGATCTGTGCCTGTCAGGTCTCGCAGTTGGAGAAAGTGAGTAGCACGTCTTATTGTGCTCATGTGGTTTGGGCTACTCAGAAAGTAGGCTGAGAGATGCATGAGATTATTATGTGTTATTGGTCTTTTACATTTTTTGATGGAAATGGTGACATGGTATTGCCCGTTGTGATTTTGATGGAAATGGTAACATGGTATTGCCCGTTGTGATTTTGATGGAAATGGTAACATGGTATTGCGTGTGAGATTTTGATGGAAATTGTAATGCGGTATTGCCTGTTGAAATTTTGATGGAAATGGTAATGTGGTATTGCCTGTGAGATTTTGGCGGAAATGGTAAATGTATTGTAAAGATAAAGATGAACTTTTTATGTGTCTTTTAAAATGTTTCTGACAATGTTCACTGAGCCTTGATATTTCTCCCAACGTTCCCAACCAGTTGATCAACGAGGGCAGTAGTCAGGTGAAGCAGGGAGCTGCCAACGACCCGTCGGTGTGGTTAGATCGTCTTGCCGCCATATTTAGGTAAGTCTTGACTGTGTGTATTTATATATTCAGGTTTGCCAACTGTCCCAAATATCTCAGAACTGTCACGGATTCGGCAATTGGGACTTTGAGAGCCTTATCATACACACACACACAATGCCAAATCCAGTCCAAACCAGTTCCACTTGGTGTTGTTTTGTACATCGTTATGTACTCTGATGTTATGACATTTGGTGTAACTGATTTGGTTTTGAAAAAGTTGGCAAGTTTGTAAATGGTGGTGGTTGTGGTATGGGGGGGGGGGGGGGAGGGGGAGGAATGTTGATTGGCTTATAGAATCGATTTGGGGAAGGAAGGGAACCTGGGTCAGAACGTTTTCATGGTCTTGAGCCTTGTTTTGGAGGGTTTACATGACTATGAAAAAACTTTTGGACTCAGTGGTGGTATTTGTCTTCTTGACTGTGCTTAACAGAATTCCTATGTGTATGTTGAACTCACACGGAATATCTGTGAATAGTGTGGTGAATTTTTGTCCTATCTTTCCAGACACACAAACCCGACAGTGACCAATGGAGAGGTACATCCGTGCCAGGCTGTCATCTTAGAGGTGAGTCTTGGTGTGTGTGTGTGTGTGCGTGTGTGCGTGCGTGCGTGCGTGCGTGCGTGCGTGCGTGCGTGCGTGCGTGCGTGCATGCGTGAGTGCGTGAGTGAGTGCGCGCGTATGTTTACCTGCTTGGTTTGCCTGTTCTCAAGCATTTTCCAACATAAGATGGTAAAATCACGCATTTTCCCTTGACACCACAGGCAATTTGTTAGCGACACTTGGGGGGTTAAAAAAAAAGATCGATCCTTGTTTGTTAAAGCATGGGACCAAATCAAAATGGAAATCACAGTGAAAGTTAATGATATTGTGTTTGTTTAACGTGACATGTATGTTTTTTAACACAGCTCTGTGTTCCCTCCATTGCGTTTGTTTGAAGTGAAGTGAATGTTGTTTGAAAATGCGCTGTGTCTCCTCCATTGTGTTTATGTGAAGTGACACGTATGTTGTTTAAGATGGCGCTGGTTTCCTCATTGCAGTTGTTTGACGCGACATGGATGTTATTTAACCCGGTGCGGTGTTCCCCTCATTGCAGTTGTTTGACGCGACATGGATGTTATTTAACCCGGTGCGGTGTTCCCCTCATTGCAGTTGTTTGACGCGACATGGATGTTATTTAACCCGGTGCGGTGTTCCCCTCATTGCAGTTGTTTGACGCGACATGGATGTTATTTAACCCGGTGCGGTGTTCCCCTCATTGCAGTTGTTTGACGCGACATGGATGTTATTTAACCCGGTGCTGTGTTCCCCTCATTGCGTTTGTTTGAAGTGACATGGATGTTGTTTGACCATATATTATGATCTTATTGTGTTGCAAGTGCCGTAAAACACTCACTAAAACAAACAAAAAACTGACATCTCCCTATGTTCCCCCCTCCAGGTGTGGCCCGTGTTGTCCAAGGCGTGCGAGAAATACCAGGCGGACGACCGGATCATCGAGCGGTGTTGTCGCTGTATCCGCTTTGCCATCAGGTGCCTGGGGAAGAACTCGGCCACTCTGCTCACCCCGCTGGTCACTCAGGTATGTGTGGGTGGTTGGCGGGTGCTCTGGTGTGGTTTTGCTCCTTCTTTCCTATCAAACATCTATCATCTTTATCTCCCCTCCTTCTTTTTGTGTTTGTTACTCTCTTGCAACACCTCTAATCTTCTGGCGCTCATGACCTTATGCAGTTGCGAGCGCCGTAAAACCTCTACTAAAACAAATAACCCCAGTCCCAGCCAATACAGCTGTATTTTATTAGAGAAAGAGGAATGCATTCTAAAAAGTGATTTTAGTATCTTTGTGATGAGGTTTAGATAATAATGTATAACGATGTTTAAAGGTGAATGAATAAATGTTATGAAAATTAAAGTTTAATTATCTTTGCCAAGTTCTAAAAATTGCTCAAATTCGGTACCCCTGAAACTGAAAATATACGCTCTTGGGACTGTGGGAGGTACAAGCGCTGCTGAAAATACTAACTTGGGGCTTGAAGGGTTAACACTTACAGTACCGAAGGCTCACATAGTGAAACACCTTCTAGTACCGCACCAGTTTAGAATGCTGAAGCCATGGTAGAATTGTTTAAATTTAAAAAAAAACAAGAAACACTTTAAAAATTCAAAAAGGTTCATCAACCAGTCAGCTATTATATATTGTACATCCTTATTATCGTCATTTTTCCTCTACTTCTTTTGTATGTTTGTCACTCTCTTGTGAACTGCTATTTCCCGGTTGCCTTGATAGTCGAAGCAGACTTTTGTGCTGTTGAGGCTAGAGAGGTGAGCAGAGTAAGCCTGATTCCCCGTTTGGACATCTCTGTTGACATCCACCCCTTGGCGCTCATATGAACTTATGCAGTTGCAAGCGCTGTAAAACCTTACTGAAACTAAAAGACATTAGCCGTTGTCAAAGGTACTCCACTCCTCTCAATCCAGGACCAGTTTCTAATGTCTTACAAAAGTCTTTGACTATGTGTGTGGGTGGTTGGTGGGTACTCTGGTGTGGTTTGCTTCTTCTTTCATATGAAACATCTATCGTCCTTATCTGTCCTACTTCTTTTTTGTATTTGTTACTCTCTTGTAACACCTCTAATCTTCGGCACTTATATGACCTTATTGTGTTGCAAGTACCGTAAAACTCTTACTAAAACTAAACATCTATCGTCCTAATCTCTCCTTCTTTTTAGTGTATGTTACTCTCTTGTAACATGAAATCTATTCTTCAACACTTATATGACCTTTTTGTGTTGCAAGTGCTGTAAAACGCTTACTAAAACTAAACTCTCTTGTAACACCTCAAATCTTGGGCACTTATATGACCTTATTGTGTTGCAAGGGCCGTAAAACTCTCACTAAAACTAAAAAATATACTGACTGTGTATGTGTGCACGTGTGTGTGTTTCCCCAGATGGTGAGTCTGTACCAGAGCCACCAGCACTCGTGCTTCCTGTACCTGGGCAGCATCCTGGTGGACGAGTACGGCGGGGAGGCTGGCTGTGTGCCGGGGCTGCTGGACATGTTGCAGGTCAGGACACGGGGGTGATAGTGATGATGATGATGATATTGATGATGATAATGATGATAATGATAATACTAATAATGATAATGATAATAATCATAATCATAATATTAATGTTAATATTAATATTCATAATAATAATAACAATAATAAGAATGATATTCATAATAATATTTGTTTTAATAATGGTAATGATATTCATGATAATAATAGTAATCATAATAATAATCATAATAATAAAATCCCAATAATGATAACAATGACCTGGGTTTGCCGCAACTGCAGTAAAACTTCTTTTCTTCCAATGTGCAGATATTTTCCTTTGTCTATTATGTCTCTTAATTACGAAAAGTTTGAAACTTTATGTTATCCCTGTGTCCTGTGTTCAGGCGTTCTGCGGGCCCACGTTCAAGATCCTGGAGGAGCATAATGGGCTGAGGAACCACCCAGACACTGTGGACGATCTATTCAGGCTATGCTTGAGGTGGGTTATGTCTGTCTATCTGTCTGTCTGTCTGTCTGTCTGTCTCTCTCTCTCTGTCTCTGTCTCTCTGTCTCTCGAGGAACCACCCAGACACTGGACGATCTATTCAGGCTATGCTTGAGGTGGGATACGATTGTGTTCTCTTTCTCTCTGTCTCTCTCTGTCTGTCTGTCTCTTTCTTTCTCGTATTAAATGAATTTTTAACATTTTGAAAGAAACATTGACCAAAATCAAGCCGTGCAGTGAACTATTGTGAATGCAACCAGCTTGTTTCGCGCGCTCATATGACAGTATGCAGTTGCGAGTGCCGTAAAGCTCTTACTAAACTGACTCCTTCGATGGTGGTTGCAGGGCGCCACTGGTAGGTCCTACTTCTTTACTTTCCTTTTGTTGTTTCTGTCTGTCTGTCTGTCTGTCTTAATTTTCCACAGCACTAAATGACCATTATTATGTCGATGTGCTTCGGTTTACTCAAACAGACGAACAAACTCTTTTTTCTCATTTCTTTGTTCTCTGAAGATGTCTGTTTCCTCTCTGACTCTCAGTCTCTCACTCAGTCTCTCACTCTGTCTCTCTGTTTCTTTCTCTCTCTCTCTCTCTCTCTCTCTCTCTCTCTCTCTCTCTCTCTCTCTCTCTCTCTCCCTCCCTCCCTCGTATGGATGCGTGGGAAATGCGCCGACTTTCTTTTGAATGTGGCTCGCGTTTCTAAGGGATTTATTCATTTTCTGTGTCCTAATTTGAGTTTTTTTTTTATTGGTTAGTCTTCTTTTTGTTTCGTGTCTAAAATTTGTTAATTTATAAATGTAATGTTTGTGTTGTGAAATTAAGGTTTTGAAAAAATATTTAGGGAAGGTTTGAGAGTTTGCCTTCTCGGGGAAAATATCAAAATTATCCTGTCTGTGAGGTTGCAAAGACCTACACGGTTGTGAAACTGATAGTTTACTGCTGCAGATTTTGTGGCTACATTCTCTACCGCTTGCTTGTGTCTTGCAACTTGCTTGGGGATTTCAGGGAATTCCTCATGAAAATATTTGAAGTGTGTTCCCATATCCTTTGCATATTCTATGAGATGCACGATGCGTTTTGATTTTTAAATTTAAATTTTGATAATAATTCAATGCACAGAATCTTCGTTATTTTAGATTTTGTTAGTTTTACTGCACATTTTTCTGCTGCTATTAGACTTGTTGTTCTGATTTTATGGAAAAAAAATGTATAGCCTTATTTAATGTTGTTCCAAGCATGGGCATAGATCTGATCAGAGATAATTTTTTGAGTGTCTTAATTATTTAGACCTGCATGTTTGCCGACAATCATCTGAAATCCGACAATTGCGACCCGACTGCGAGCCGGCCAATGCTATCGCAAGGCCCACCTGTATTAGTCAATGTGTGAAGTGCGAGGCCTGACCGACTGCCAGCGCCCCCTTTTTCTCCCTTCAGCTTTGTCGTTATTTTCGTTTTCATGCCGACTGCCGACGTCGGCGTAATTGTCGGAACCTGAGTAGAAATATGAATACGAAAAAGTACGACGACCTAAATTATCTACTTTCAGTTTCGTGCTTGAGCGGCCATTTTGAATTTCATCTGTTGACAGATTGATCAGATCATTCAAGTCCGACTCACTTGTTCTACTAGTCTTGATCTGGGTCTAGATTGATATCATTATAGACTTCAATGGCGGATTCATATTCCAATTCTATTGTGTCAAACCCTGTTTCCATTGTGCTTCGAGCATAAGTTAAGTTTCTGTAACCTACGGTTCTGAATGTCTCATGTCTCAGGTTTATCCAGCGTACCCCGGTGGCCTTCCTACAGAGCGCCATGGCTAAGCCAATCATGTGCTGCGCCATCGCCGCCTGCTCCCTGGACCACAAGGACGCCAACGCCTCCGTCATGAAGTTCCTCACTGAGATGATCATGTGTGTGCGCCAGAAGGAGGTCAGTCTGTCTGTCTGTTTGTCTGTCTGCCTGTCTGTCTGCCTGATATGGCTTTCTTGACTGCTTTTCCGCTTCCTGATCTAATTTCTTTTTCTTTTTCCCCTCTCCCCTTCTCACTCCTCCTTTCTTTTTGTTCTCTTCATCCTCCTATCTTTCATTTTTTTTCTTCCCTTCTTCCTCCTTGATCTTAAAACTTACTATTGTTTCATCACGCTGGCCAAAATTTGCAGTTGTGAAAGAGTTGTAGTGTTTGGCCTGCCATCTTTCATTCTCAACTGCCAAGATGTCCTTGTCGTGTGCAATGTGTGTTGAGATGTCCTTGTTGTGTGCAATGTGTGTTGAGTTGTCTTAATTACATCTGCTCCAGTGCTCCAGGGTCAGGGGTGTAAACGTATCCGCTGTACTTGCCTGCTCAAACGGACCAAACTAGGACATATTTTGTAATTGCCCCCCCCCCCCCCCCCAACACACGCACACATGCGCACACACACACACACACATACACACACACACACACACACACACATACAACCACCCCACAATATCTGCAGGGGAGGCAGAGAGAATCGACAGCTCTCTCAGGTTTAGACTGCAGAGAAGTGTTGAAAAAAGTGAGGTCCTGTGTCTGCCACAGATTGTCACACAAGTCTGGATTGGTGAATAGAGCACTCAAGCACTCATAGTAGTCATAGCTTATATCTTTGCTGTTTTGCAGCAGTGAAAATGTGACTCGAATCATATCTCTATTTGTTTTGGAACAGTGATGTACACTCCACTCAGAATTTTTTGCCATGTTTTGTTGTAACTGTGGACTCCCCTGCTCCAATTTGTATGCCATGATTTTTTTGTAATGATGGGCTCAGAATTCATCACCACATTGTTTTGTCACTCTCTTTCTCTCCAAGAGCGAGAACTTATTACTTTAATGTTATGACATTGTTTATCTCCCTCTCCAGGAGCGGGAAGACTTTGAGCTGCGTAAGTCGCTGGTGAAGAAACTGGTGGAGGACCACGGTCAGTCTCTGGTCATCGCTCTGATCAACGCCAGCCTCTTCTGCCTGCCCACCTTCATGTCGGCCGACGTCAGCGAGGTCCTCTACGAACTCATGCTCATCGACAGACCCGTGAGTAGACCGAGGACCATCTTTTTTCTTTGCTGTCAAGCCTTACTCGTGTGTCATGATTTGTGATAGATTTTTCAAGAGAGACGAAAAAACCCAAAAATCACTTAATGTGTAAAAGTAAAGTAAAGTTGTTCCCGCATCCGATCCGGACATTGGGGATTGCCTTGTTAATGAGACAACTACCCGGGCCTTTAGCATATTGTGGTAGGGTGGCCAGTTCCTTTCCACGCCACCTTTACTTCCCCAACTCAAAGTTTGGTACCCATTACTGCTATGTGGGCAGGAGGGGGTGAAAAAAAATCCGTGTCCGAACCTGGGCTCCAACCTGGACTATCTGCTTCGGAGATGAGCGCACTAACCACTCCGCCACCACACCCTTTAGTGTGTAAAAAGTACTTTAAATTCCTGCTTTCATAATTTTGAAAAAAACCCTCCCAAACCATTAGCTCATTGTTCTTGTAAAAATAGCAGGATGGTGTGCTTGTGAGGCTCTTTTGACCTCAGAAACAATGTCACGATGCGAGAGTGCGGCTCTTTCACTAAGGTTTTCTGGCCTGGTTTCAAAAGGTTTTGCCTACAGAAGTAATGGATCAAGATAAATGACCCTTCTTGATATATGACCTGGTCAAACATTAACAACCTTTCAGTATTGCAAGGGGCATTAAACTGACACTATTTGACACGGACAGAGATTATCAAAGGTAGGCATTAGATTCAGAGGCCCCTCTTTTAATAATCTTTCAGTGTTGCGAAGGTCATTAACTTTCACAATTTCTCACATTTTTTTTACTGTTCTTTTTTTATTGAACTTCCTTGCACGTATGTGTGTCCTCAGATGTTCTCCCACCTCCTAACCCTTTCGTTGCCCCGGGGTATGCATCCTTACTGTCAGCGCTGATTTTCAGCTGAGCTCGTTACCCAGGACTGCAGCCTAATGTCTCAGTGTTAAAGGAAGTGCGGTCTAGATCTAGCATTATCGTGACATGTTTCGGGCGCCCGGTCTTCGATCATTTTTCTTACTTTTCTTATTCCCTATTTCCTCCCTTCTTACTCCTAATTTCGAATAACCTGCAAATCTAAGTCAAAAAGTGAATTTATTTGCCTTTTTAAAGTCATGTTGATGTTTATGTTGTATGAGAGCACGCGGCCGCCCGCAAGCCAAGGTCTACGTTTATCGGTCGCTTACTAGCGTAAGAGTAAAGAAATTCTAGCAAATTTGGTACTGATATTTGCGTCTTTAATTCCTGAATACGAATCTACACAGCCCTTGTGGTTAAAACTCCGTACAGAAGAATTTGAGCCAGGTTATTAGCGTGACATACATTTAACGTCATACAGGCAACCAGGAGCGGCAAATGTTGCCAACTTCTGTGGCGTACACGGTACGGCACAGCGCTGAAAATTACGCGTTTTCGTGTACGTCATAAGGCAACGAAGGGGTTAAATAAGTTAATGATATGTTGACAGGGGCGTTACACCTCTACCCTTTCACGGTTTTCCCCAGACGTTCTGCGTGTGGCTGGAGCACACACTCAAGGCCCTACCCACAGAGAGCAGCGGCGGGGCTGTCACCGCCACCAAGAAACAGCTGGCAGACTTCCACAAGACGTGTACCAGGTCAGTCCACACATCAGTCGAGCAGTGGGAAACTCCCAGTGTCACCCATACCCTGATTTTAAACTGGTTTAAATCGTTACTGTTATATCTGTTTATTTATGATTTTAGCACACGTTGTTAATACTTAAAGTGCAAGCTCCTTCGTGATCTATGCATATCATATGTGTCACGATGCGGTAGAATCAGGCGCTCCTCAATTTTTGGGCATCTAGAGTTATTGGTATCACCTTTAACTCACTTGCGACTGGGCCCTTTCACCAGCCACAAGCGTTGAAGACTGGCGTTTTTGGGAGTATTTCAATAAATCACCACAACTCTCAGAATTAACCTATTGTAATCATTTTTTGACACAGTAAAGTAACATTCAAGCTTAATCTAATACAAAAAACTAAAGTTGTCTAAGTCTAATACTTTAATTTGTATGATTTTTTTAAAAATCGGCGTGAATTTGATTTTCCGAAAAATTTCCAGAGACGTGACAAGTAGAATGAAATTCACTGCAACAACAAAAATAAAAGTTCAAAGTGTTCTTGTTTGATTTGTATACATGTGCGAGTGTTTGGTGAAAATATAAAAGCTGGTCTGTGCATTGATTCAGACCCATACACTGAATTACATGAGACAGATGTACGGCACGACGTTGTGATTTCGTTGCGCGAAAAACAACACCGGTACTAGTGCTAGATCTAACCCTAGAACTACGACTCGGGCCGTGTTCGGGTACATATCCAGGGTCCTAACTATTAAACACATCATATTCTGAGACACTAGAACTAGTAAAACGCACAGAAGTATAGAAAACGGCGAAATTATGTGATTCTTGTTCATGCGACTTCTTCGACTGTTACTACGACGCGACTGTCGGATTACTATCAGCTGTATAGAAAAAAACAAAGCGCGAGTTCCGGTCTGTTCAACCCCAGTTGGGATCACTGTCCTTCACCTTCAATAACTTAAAAACTACCGGCCCCAGAGATACGAAACGAAGTCTAAGTAGCTCAGGCTTGGCCAAACAAGGGTACGAGGCGGGTCTCGCGATCCGTGCGTGATTTGTAGAGCGGAAAAAAAATTCCAAAGTTGGTCACGCAGGGCTTGTGAGACCCGTCGCGAGCGTCGCGGCGGGGGTCACGCAACTGTTGTGTGACCCGTCTGAAGTGAGTTAAGCTTGTTCATTTTACCATCTTTTGATGAAAAAAATACTCGCCTATCTTGAAGAGAAGTTGAGATATTGGCGAGTGAAGGAGGCTGGGGTCACTTGGTTTCAGAGGCAAAATAGCGAGAAAACGGCCGCCAAAGTCTGGTGATTTCGCTGGAGACTGGAAATGTACATTTGTTGTGCATTTAATCAATGCTTTTGAGTAAAATCCTCACAGAAATATTTTTTTTAATGGGCATAAAAGATGTTGAGCCAAAAAAACAAAAAATAGATGAAAATAAGCTCAAACTGGAGGGAAAATGCCGATATCTTCGATTTCATTATTTTGAAGAGCGCTTGATTTCAACAAGATACCTCACATATGTAGCAAATTTGTGTGTACTGAGTATATAATAACCAAATTTATGTCTGCATTCTGGCTCCCTTTTGATATTGGTAAGAGCCCATTGGAGATGTGTGCATTATTGATTCACTGTTACACATATTTCTAGTACTAAATTTTAAAATTGTTTTCTCCTCTTTCCCCACAGTGCGGAGGACCTGAAGCAAGTGAGTTCGGCGGTGCGTGACTTCTGCCGTCTGTACAGATAGTGATGGGACGGTGCCTCTAGCCTGTGATCTGCTGTCGCGTGATTGATTTGCCACGGTGTACAGTCGACCTGTGTACGGTCATAGTCAAACTGCATGCTCTTATATAGGACTTAATTAAAGCCTGTGCTGAAATACTCCCCTTCCCCTCCCCCTCCTCCATCTTGTCATGTGACTGCAGCGACTCGCGACTTGCGACCCAAGGGTGGAGCAGAGGATCACCTGGTGTGTGTGTACCACTCTCTCTCTGACGTGTGTCGACGCGTGTCGTCATGTGTCGTTGGGGCCTCTGCCCCCTCAGCTGAGATTTATGTAGATGCATGTGGTTATTTTTGGCTCGTCAATGGCTGATATTTAACTCTTTACCTCCTGCTCTATATTCCTCGTAATGCATGCTTGGGTGGTGTGAGTTGCTGACGGGAAGCAAAGTGTTAAAATGTATACAAAAAAACCCAAAAACACACACACACACAAAAAAACAACAACAACACCAGACTTTTGCCAGTGCATCTTTTCCTGCCATACACTAGTTAGGGTTCCACTTATTTGGATTGTTGTGAGTTTTCTGACAGTCTTGAAAGTTTTGTAATTTTTTTTTTACTGTTGAACTGTGTATTTCCCCTGTGTGTTGGGGTGATGTCAACACGTCCTATCGGATGCAAAACAAAACGTTTGGAAAACTCTTCCTTGATTTTTGACGCTCCTTGTATTATAGGAGTGCTGTGTGAATGAAAAGTGAGTAGCGATGTGAGTAGTTGAGGTTTTGTTGAATGTTCTTTGACCCCCTCTGCCTTTCGTCATGTTTGTCTCCCCCCCCCCCCCCCCCCCAGTTAGAAACTATAATTCTTTTCGTCTCTGATAATGACCGTTAATGGCGGGCAGTATTGCGAACAGAGGTTTCTCAAAGGCCGCTAAAAATGACTGACGTCTGTATGCAATACTGCCTGTGTATTGTATTATTCCCTGTGGGTGGTCGGGGGGTGCTACTGGTTGGTCCTACTTGTTTTCCATCCCTCTCTGTTTGTTTCTGCCTGTCTGGCTTTCCTTTTCCCTGCACTAAATGACCGTTATTGTGTCGATGTGCACCTCTTCGCTTAACCTCTTCACTGCTGTGTAGAAGACATATGTACTCGCTTGTAATCCAAACTTGGTTCAGTGCAATTGTTTTCGACTGGCCAAAAGAGGAAAGTTTAGGAGATGTATCCACATTGCTTATTCATAATTGAACGGAAAGATATCATGGCTTTGTTTATAACTCTCTCGAATAAATATGTTTATCTTGTATAAATGTACATAGACACATCTCAGCAGTGAAGGGGTTAAACAAGCAAACAATTTTTATTCCTCTGTCTTTTAAATCTATCAGTGACCTTCACTTTTTATGTCTGACTCTTGTTGAATCTCTTTGATAACTTTATTCTTTTGTTTGTCCCTTTAAGTGAGTCAGTGACTTTTTTACATGTCTTTTAAATCCTTTTGTAATTTTGTGCTTTTGTGCATTCTTTAAGTCTTTCAGTCACTGATTTTCTTTCGCTTGGTTTTAGATTTCTCAGTGACCTTCTTTCTGATTGCTCCGTCTTTTAAATGGGTCAATGACCTTTGTTTTATTCTAACCATTCTGTCTTTGTGTGTGTTTTGTTGCGTGAGAAAACGAGAGTGTCTGTTAGTGTGTTCATGAGAGATGACGGGTGAATGAGATCGTTGAGAGATGACCAGTTCTGGAGTGTGTTGACTGATGACCAGTCACGGAGTGCTTAGATTTGACCATTCATTAACAGTTTAACCCCTCATGGGATCGGCGACGGTAGGAAACCGTCCCTTCTCCTCCCCCCCCCCACAGGATGCTGATCAGCGCCGGTGTGATAGAGCATGTACCGCATTCTGTAGCCTGGTCCTTGGGGGATAAAAGTGTTGTGTGCTCTGCATGCTGTGTGGGTGGAGAATGTTAAGTGTATGCTGAGATATGATAAGAGTATGCTGAGATATGATAAGAGTATGCTGAGATATGATAAGAGCCCCGAGCATGCTTGGAGTATCTGGTCATTAATTTTGTCGGGGTGTGAGGGGGCCGTAGTCGGGTAACGTGCTGGGGGTACTTTGTCGTCTGCCAGAGAGCAAGTGTTAGTGTGGGTGGTTGGCGGGTGCTCTGGTGTGGTTTGCTCCTTCTTTCCTATCAAGCATCTATCGTCCTTATCTCCCCTCCTTCTTTTTTTGTGTTTACTACTCTCTTGTAACACCTCTAATCTTCGGCACTTGTATATGACCTTATTGTGTTGCAAGCGCCGTATAACTCTTATGAAAACTATGATCTTATTGTATTGCAAATGCTGTAAAACTCTTACTAAAACTAAAACTAAGCAAGTGTTAGTGTTGGTGTTGTACCACAAGTGTTGGCCTTTGATCACAGTCTTTCTTGTCGGAGACGACGCTCACACTGCGTTGATTCTCTGCAGAGTCTTGGAGGGAGCAATTGTTTCCTCTGACAACATCCTCGTGAATGTCTTACTGTGGCGTCGGTGGCCTAGTGGTTAGGCTACCAGACTCGTAATCGTGAAGTTGCGGGTTCAGGGGTTCGAGCCGCGGGCCTGACGTTGTGTTCTTGGGAAAGGCGCTTTACACGAATTTTCCTCACTTCACCCAGGTGGGAATGGGTACCCGGCCACAGAGGGCGAAAGATCTTGTCAGTATGTTTGGGTTTTAGGGCCTATAAATGCTCGCTTGCATTGTATGCTTCCCAGGAAGTTGAAGTTTTTTTCAGAATGCTCTCAGGTCTGCTGGGGTAATAGTATAGATTGTGAAGCGCATAGGGCTTGCTGTTGAGCGGGGATATGCGCTATACAAATGCTATTATTATTATTACTTGTCCAATCAACGGTGATAAACATGCAAGCCTGTGTTGTCGTTTATGTTGTAACATGCTCCTAGAAGAATTTGAACATGACTCACTCTTGTCTGATGTCTGATAAAGAGCTACTACTTCTACCACCCGTGGTTGTAGAGAATAAATTCGTTTTGTTTTGTATTTTATTTTTGTTTGATTTTTTTCGTCTGTTGTATTTCTTTTTTTTTTTTTCCCCTTTCAATGCTGATAGTTTTGTTGTAAGAACGATGCCATTTTTAGCTCTTTACACCCTGAGTTTTCTCTACCGTTTTCCGGAGTTTTCTTCTACAGTCACCTAAACCTAGTGCACTATGTCTAATTATAACCCTTAAAAGCTTGCTTCCAACTTCTAAATAGCGGAAACAAAGGCTTACTTAGTCATTACTAAAAAACTTGGTTCGGGTATAGTTTCGAGAAACAAGCAAAAACTAGCACTAACTAAATAAAACGAAACTGTTTGTCAATAGTGCTGGACGCTCCCACCGTCGGATGGGGAACAGGGCTTTTGCTGCCAGACGCTCCCAGACGCTCCCAGACGCTCCCAGTGTCCAGTGGGGTTCAAAGAGTTAATCTGTCGATCGGACACTTTTTAACACAAAGAACTGCCTGCACTGTTTGTTTCACGAGTAGTTTGAACCCTACGGATTTGCCTTTGATTTGAGCTAGTGCATGTATTGCCTTGCTGATGATGGCAGCGAACGACCCAGTCTTTCTTTTCGGAGGTTGATTGATTGATATTTTTTTCTTTCTTTTTTTCTTTTTGACTTTGATGATTCTTTTTGAGGTGCAGAATGGAATAATAATTATGTTGTAGAGTTATGATGATTTCTGTACAGGGTTTTTAAACTCTTGTTAAAGATGTGTGCAATATACGATTCATCTGACACAGTTCTGTGCGGAAAATGTTTAATTAGGCTATGTGGTGTGTGTGTGTTTGTGTGTTTCTTGGCATTTGCGTGTGCATCTTTGTGTGTGTATGGATCTGTGTGTGTGTGTGTGTGGGCATTTGTGTGTGTATGTGTTTGCGTTTTTATATTTGATGAAACCTGAGATGCTGTTCTGTCCTTTCCCTGTATTCACAGTGAAGCTGAAAAATGTGCTTAAGTCGATGTATAAGCGTGCCGTTCAGGGAATGAAGATGGCTGCATATTTACTCTACTGACTAGTTAACCTGACTATGTTTATCTGTTAGCTGTTGTGTGTGTGTGTGTGTGTGTGTGTGTGTGTGTGTATGTGTGCGTGCGTGCGCGCTTGCTCCTGTGCGTGCGTGTGTGCTTGTTCCTGTGCATGCATGAGTGCATTTGTGGGTATGTGTGTTGTGTGAGAGACGGGAGAGAGGGAGGGAGGGGGAGAGAGAGAGAGAGAGAGAGAGAGAGAGAGAGAGAGAGAGAGAGAGAGAGAGAGCGCATATTTGATGGAACCTGTACATAATATGCTGAAACTGACAATGTGCTTAAGTGGATGTGTAACCTTGCCATGCACAGAAACGGATAGTTGTGTATGTATTTCTACTGACACTGGCAGTGAGTGGTTGGCGGTTGCTCTGATGTGGCTTGCTCCTTCTGTCCTTTGCATTTAAAAACATTTTTCAAGACGGGAAGTTGCTTCTATTTCAGGTCTGACTTCTGTCCTTTCCCTCTGCTGTTCCTGTCTGTCCGTCTGTCGCACGTTTTTCCCATGCTCTTAAGTGATGGTTATTGTGTTGGTTTACAGTTTATTTCTCTGTACTGGACCCCGTTGTGAGAGTGTTGCCATGTGGTTTGCTGCTGTGCGAGGTCTCTTGTCGGTTTTGTGTCCCGCGATACCGCACAAGGATGACCTTCACCCTGCCTAGAAACTGGTCAGTCTGGACCTGTGGGCTCAAGCTCTGTGACGCTGTCAAACTATTAATTCTTGATGATAATTAATTGACAGCATCGGTCAATAAATACCAACTCAAGAAAAAATCTTATTTGACAAGACTCGGTGAATTGTCTTGATTTCTTTCGTCTTAAAACCCCCCCAACCCTATTGAAGTTGAGAGATTTTGCATGCTTTGTTTCTAAGTCTTGGGACAAACTGTGTCTAAACAGAATTTTTTCAAGATCAGTTATTGGAACAATATTTGCCCCTTCTCTCCTATCAAACATCTTTCGTCCTTATCTCTCCCCTCTTTTTTTATGTTTGTTACTGTCTTGCAACACCTCTAAATCTTCAACACTTATATGACCTGCTTGTGTTGCAAGTGCTGCAAAACACATACTCAAACTAAAAAGAAAACAATATTTGCTTTTCAATCTCTGTGTTTGGCCAGTTTGTTGCCAGTATCCCCCCCCCTGTACTGGAACATTTGACCTCGTGACACTCCCCCCTCCCCCCCACTCAGAGTACAGTAATTTCTGCTTGGGCACATGTTGTCTGTGTGTGTGTGTGTGTGGGGGGGGGCTTTTGTTGGAGGGAAAGGTGCCTTACTGAAAACCCGAGCGAAATCAGGATAATGATGGTGATGATGATGATAAATATGATGATGATGATAATTTCTACCCTTGCTTCAGGAAGGAATTGTCACTCACAAACATGTATTGTCATTGCAGTTGTAATGATTACCTCCCTTGGATAATTTCTCTCAAATCTTTTAATGATTACTGACTTACCTTGGATTCAGGTCGCACTCAGTGCAAATGTTGAACTGACATGTATTATGTATCCAGTGCAGCCTCTCTATAAACGGTCTTTGATATAACGACATCCTCTGTATAGCGACATGGTGCCCAGGTCCCGATGTTTTCTTAATATGTTTAGAAATATTTTTGGGTTGCCTCT